AAACAAACAAACGAAACAATAACCTGCAAGTTTCTGCTTGTGTTTTTCAGCTTTATTGCCACATCCTTGGTACGTGTCTTCTCCTTACAGTGAAGGTATGCCGTATTTGTGGGTGGTAGAGAAGGTCCTCGAGGCAATCAGCTGCTGTGAATCTTGTATACATATATAGTATATGCACCACGCACAGAAGCACAAGTGGGTCTGTTAGCAGTCAGGCATGCTTTTTGAAGGAGGCAAGACAGCTCCCAGTCACTGGATTTACATCAGCGCTTGCTCAAAGTAGAATAAACCCCAATCTTATTGACCACATCAAGTGGTGTGTGTTACTAAATGTCCTGCACTGGGAAGATGAATCAATCCATTTAGCTGAACACTGAATCTCTTCACTTTCAGTCCAGACATGTGCGTTGAATTAGCTCATGTCTTCCCATCTATGGGTAGTCGCAGGCTGGTCACCATGTTGACTTATTTAGCCCCACTGATGGTTCAGTCAGAGAAACAGGCTCTTCTTCCTTGCAGTCTTTATGCATTTTTTTTAAATTCTCCTTTTCTCAAATGCTGATGTCAGGTCATCTGCTGTCTTTCACTTTTTCTACACTGCCACTCGTCTTCTCTACGCCTCCACTCCATTTCTTCTCTCATCTCCATCACTTTGCTCTTGAAGTCCTTGAACGCTGCCTCTAATAGCCTTACCTCAGACGTGGTCTCTTTCTGTCTCTCTGTCTCTCTGGGTCAAACAACCTTTTGCTCAAAGCTCTACTCTACGCTGCGGTGCACTCATTCGAAACAACCACTGCCTCCATCAAATATACTCAGGATGCATATTGCACTAATCAAAAAGAGACAGATGGGCCTCTTAATGTGATATACACCCTGCTATTTCAGCCTACACACAGATGGACAGAGCATCCATAAACCATGTTCACTCTGCGTATAGGAAATATTGATGTGGCACTGCTTTATAGTGGCAATATGGGTTTACATAAATGTTTTAGTGAAAAACATGATGTGTCTCCGTCACGTGCGCTCTGCTTCGCAAAGTTCCCAAGATGCATTTTACAGCACGTCACAGAGGAGGACGAGGTGCTGAGTATGATCTAAAGCGCGCTCTAAACGGTCTTTGTCATAGCTGACTGTGTTTGTGTTGGCCTCCACAGGGGAAGGCGTATGTGTTTGACCGAGTCTTCCCAACTAACAGCACACAGGAGCAGGTCTACAGCACCTGTGCCAAGCAGATAGTCAAAGGTGAGTCACATACATGGTTCTGTGGGTTTTTTTGTCTCCATGACGTATGAGTGACACAACAGCTGAGGGGAAAAAACGACAGAGCACCTTGAATTACCATAATCGTGATATCCATGTTGGTGGTGTCACTTCACACTGACAATTCACTGGTGCATCCATTAGCACCTCCCTTACAAGATGCAAGAAAAAACTATTTCCATGACATGATGTAGTCACACGGCCTGCATGTAGGAGCATCACAATGCACTGATTAATGACATGCATGCTTATCATGGCGCAGCAGGACCAGCATATCCAAGGGGCATATAGATCAAACAAAACCATTACCTTCAACTTTTGAATCTTTTTCTCTTTCCCTTCCTTCTGTCTGCATCTCTTTATGTCTGTCTGCCTCTTTTTTCCCTGTTAGGGGCTCATTTTTCTCCCACCTTCAAAGTGAGTGTGGAACTCCATTGAACTAGTTCTAGATGGGGCATGAAAAAGATTGATTTGGCAGGCAAGATTACTTGTAGGTGAGATTACCATGCAGGCTGAGAAAAAAAGAAATAAAAAGGCAGGATTGCTTTCACTGCGAGGTTGAAAAAAATTCAAGGCAGGCAGTTAACGAAAGGAAGGCATGCGATAAGACGTTAGATTTGAAATGCGTCAGGGGGAAAAGGTAACAGAGGGGGCAAGCTTGGTGAGAGCAAAGAGGTTTGGAGACCATATCCATATTTACACTTTCTCAGTTTTCTCATCTTACAGTGTCTTTTTTTGCCCTTTTCGTTGTTTTTTTCTTCACACTTGTGCCGTCGGGTTCTTTGCCCTTTTCAGTGTCTTTGTCTCAGACTCGTGCTGACTCTTCTCTTCTGTGTTTCCCTTTGTGAAGGTCTCTGTAGTTTAGCAATCTAGTGTCCCGCTGCCTTCATTTCCTTTCAATAACACATTCTTTAGTGTTTGCTTTTTTTTGTGCCACACTTCTGCGTTGTTCTCACTATGGTCAGCGTGGAAACAAAGGAAGACATGAACAAGAAGAGGCAGCAACACATGAAAACAGGAGAGAAAGAGGGTTCTGCATGGTTACAGCTGAGAGCCTTTGTGATGTGTCTGTGGTCAGCTGACCAGTGGCTGCTGGACTTCTGGGATGATATGTTTTTCTTTATCCATGTTTGACTTTTATCGCAGAGGTTTATTGGCCTCTGTCAGCACTATAACATCCAAGGGTGTATTTCTTTATAACCTCAGCTGGAGTGGAGGCATTCTGCTATGGCTTCCACTAAGAAAAAGGGAAATATATCTGTATTTGCTCTGTACTTCGCTGACTGCCTCCTGGTGACATTAATGCTGCAGGAAGTTGTTGTTTATTGTGTGTAGCCACAGAGGTCATTCGGCACCTAACCAAGCTTAAATACCACGTACCCCACAGAGCCAACAGGCTTATGAGGCTCAGATCAATCTACCTTTGGAGCAAAGGTCAAACATATTTGTATTTCTCTGGGAACTTCCTGTCTGGTTGTTTTTTTTATGCCGTTTAATTTCTGTCGCGATAAAACACGTTCACAAACAATTTTATCATTTTATTTTTTCATTCACTGCTACTCACACTGTAGAAACCTTGTGCACAGATTTAACAAATGTGGGTGAAGCAGTGAGAAGCCCAGAGCACAAAGCGCCGCCAAAGCTTACAGAGTTTCTGCTTGCTGAATGCTGGAGGGCAAACTGGCTCTTTTAGGCAACTCTGCTTCAAGGTTGAATTCAAATCAATCCGACTTTTTTCACGGCTGAAACAACAGGCCCTCTTATAATTGGTAAGAGGGCCTGTTGATAAGGGTATAATTAGTTTAACTGGTATGCAATCACACAACCTCTTTGACTGACACCTTGAGGTGCACAGAGTTGGCAGGTTGGCAGGTTTATTTAGATTTTAGCAAATTCAGTGTGATAATCTTACTATTAAAGGGGACCTACCATGTTTCTTTCCACATTGATATTTTCATTTCTGGACTCTACTAGAGTAGCTTTTCATAATTCATCGCTCAAAAATAATCCTTTTTTATTTTACAAAGGGTCTTGGTGACTCCTCTCCGTTCATCCACCATCTGAAAAAAGCCTTTTAGGATGACTCGCTTCATATCAACTCCTGACAGCCAGATCTTTGTATCTGAGATGACCATATTACAGAGTCTCCCTCTCTGACATCATGTAGAACTGAGAATAGAAAACCTAACAGTTTAAAACAGTGTTTAGAGCAGTGTAAAGCCTGGCACACAGACACTAATGTCCACATGAAAAACGAAGTAAAAATACTAAACTATATGTCACAAACCAGTCGTGTGGTCATGTGAGCATAAAGGTGATGCACATAGTGACGCCAATTAAGAATCTGAATTAATCCAGGCCTTTATGTCTTTCAGACATGTAATTGGTTTGTGTCATCTGGATTCATTAGATAAATAAAGATGGATATTATCTGCATGGCACTGAAAATATATGCAGTTTTTTTGCCTAAGGGAACTCCATGATAAACTTTTGTAAGGGAAGAAAAGGCCTCATTTACGTGAACAAATTTAGAATCGATTGATGAGATTCAAACCCCTGCACTTTATTTTCTTCAAGATCAACAGTTTGTTATAGTCTCTGTATTAAAATGTTCAACAGTATCAAGTGCACTGAGGTCTAACAGGACACAGAGATGAGTCCACTGTCAGCGGTCGTAGGAAGTGCCTCTGACAGTGTGACATTGTAACTAGTAACTAGTGCTGTTGATGAATTCTGAAACCTAATTGAACCTTTTCAGATAGATCATTCATCTGCAAATGGCCATGCAGCTGTTTGCAGGTGCTCTTTTAAGAATTTTTAATATAAGAAGCGGTGACCCAAAAACGCAGATGAGTGACTTAAGGGGTGGGGGGAGGGGCACAAAAGCTGAGCTCCAAGGCTTTTATAGGGCACTGGCACACTGGGCCCAGGTGTTCCCGATGTTGCTGACAATGAACAAACCGTGGTAGCGGGCAGGGTGAATGGACCTGGGGTGGAGAGGGTCCTCACAATACAGCTCCCTTTCTTTGTGTACAACAGTATACACTTCCAACCACCAGTAGATTACTTTGGCACTGAGGATTTGAAGGGTAAGCCAGGCATAACAGGCTGCTATCATTTTTTGGTTTCCACATATGTGACTCAGGATAGAAATTTATATCTGTTTATATTTTTGCACCTGTTCTCTCCTGCCATTCTTTATTTTCACACGCTTTACCTATTTTCTTTTCCCCCCTTGCGTTCTTCTCTAACGTGCTTTTGTTTCTTCTTCCTCGCTTCAGATGTACTGGGAGGATACAATGGGACTATCTTTGCCTATGGGCAGACTTCCTCAGGAAAGACACACACCATGGAGGTACAGTGCTGCTAAAAAATTCAAAAGGTAGCCCTCGCAATGTGGCACGTGCGAGCACAGAGATACACGCACATTTTCCTCCTTTTTAAACACCGTCTCCTCCTCTGCCTGTCCTGACTTTATGTCTGCCTCCGTCATGGCCATCATTCTCTATCTTTCTTTCTCAGCCTCATGTGGAAACTAACCTTCTTTACAACTCTCTGTGGGAAACAACCCTGTTCGCTTTCAAGTCAAAAGCCTCGCTGCTCTCCTTTCTTTTACTGTTCTATCGACTTTATTCGTCCCAGCGTCTGCATTTATCCTGCTCTTCACTTACATGTCTCTGTCTCATTTCAATCCTCCTTTAGGGGAACCTTCATGATCACCAGGGAATGGGGATAATACCGCGGATTGCTGAGGACATTTTTGAACATATATTTGCCATGGATGAGAATCTTGAATTCCACATAAAGGTTGGTGTGGATTCTGACGTTTGTGTGTTCAAGTTTGCATTTTTACCACCTTCTTCTTCTTTCTTTCTTTTTTTTTTTACGTTTGCTGTTAGATGGAATATATTCAGTAGAAATACAACTTGAAGCTCTGATGTAATCCTCACATGGATGGGTTGAGTGGAATCAGCCAAGCATCAATAAATCATGATAAATAAACCATGATCATCCCACAGCATTTTCCCTTTTACATCACGGTCTTATAATAGAGGATAATACCTCATCAGAGCCACAGCAGATTATTGCAGCATTTTGTATTTGCACAGTGAGCACCTATCATCCTCCTCATTTATCTGCATTGAATTCTCTTTCTGTGTCCCTGATAAAATATTTGCTATCAAATGTTTTTTGTCTTTGCTGCAGGTCTCCTACTTTGAGATCTACATGGATAAAATCCGGGACCTGCTGGACGGTATATAACTGAAATACAGTTCAATTTTGTTAATGCTTCGTAGTTTTCTGTGTCACAACACAGATTTAAAAGCTGTCTGCTCACACACAGATGAATCATGTTTAACCGTTGACATTTTAAGACCTTATTACTTAAAGTGTTTGAACCCTATGCAAACTGCCAGGCACATCTATAGCGATGAGCCACAGCATTAAATTTGCTTGCCTCTTTCTGAATGAGATGGATATGTGACCTCTGAGGGTGTCCTGCAGCGTGTGGCACTGGGATACAAGCAGAAGAACTTTCAGGCCCTCTGGGCTGGTCGACCTCAGTGGTTGGGACTTATTCCAATGCATCCTGCAGCTGCTTGATCGGATTGGGATTTGGGGAGCTTGGGAGCTGGTCAATACCATGGGCTCTTTATTATGTTCCTCCAGCCATTTCCAAGCAGTTCTTGTTGTAAGCTGTGGAAATGTGGTGGTGGTGGTAAATTGGTGTGAGACAACGATTACTTGGGTGGTATTTATCAAAGCAATAATAAAGTGAATCTCAGGATCCAAGGTGTCCTAAATTATCAAGGAGATAATCTGTGCCAGGGTTTTTAATCTTATGGCTAATCACTTTATATTTATGTTTAAGATATTATTCGGTTGTTGTCTCCCATAGGAGAAAATCATCCTGGGACAGGCAACTACTGCATCACGGAAACAGACAAAAAGAAAATATTACAACAAAAACCCTTAATGGGCACATGTTTAGTAAATACAGATGTAATTATAATAAATACCAGTAGAAAAATAATAATAAAAGAGTTACCTCAAAGGCTCCCAACTTCTCTCTGTCCTACACAGTAAAAAAAGAAAGAAAAACAGAAAATATTCTGTCACTTTTCTGCCTGTATTATCATTTTTATTATCTTTTTTGAGTGAATTAATAAGGGAAATTTTTGAGAAGCTAAAAAAAGAAGGCAACGGGACTTCTTTCGGTTTGTGATGTGTTTTCTGTGGGTTTTTTCAGAGTACTTGAGTTTTTCATTACTCAGTTTAACTGAGTGAGGGTCCACTGAGTGCTTATAGCACAAAGTGACCCTAGATCTCCTAACAGAGGTCAGCTAAAATCCTGTTAGCTGAACAGTGGACCGTATTAAAAATGTCTTGGGGAGTGAGGAGAGTTGTACCCGTGATTTCTCCTGATGTTTTAACTACATAAAAATGTTGAGGTTTACACTTACAGTCTTAGGTTTCAAAACCAGCTGATAATGCTACAACATAAGATGGACTTTGCAGTACTAATGCTGCAAACACTAAAAACTTGGATTCTGTGGAGAACATGAAGACGCTGATGGATTCTCACACAAACACACGTTGGTGCTGTTTGAGTTGACACTTTTATAAATATAAGCTGTGAAGCTATCGAGGAAAAGAAGCATGTTTTTTAAATTATTCCGCTCTTGTGAAAAGGAACATTTATTATCACGCCCTCCCCTCCTCGCTTTTCATGGCCTTTTAATTTAAAAAGCGTAAAATTAAACTGATCTGTGAAGTTAAATTGAAAAAGTAAACAACCTCACTGGCTTCCTTTATATCTTCGCTTTGTTCTATTTTCTGTATACACCCAGAGTCAACTCACCATTTCGGCTCATAGTCTTATCACCCATATACAACCCGTGTAAAATGATGGAGAGGCCAGGATAGAGGGGTGTGATTACATCTTTAATGGAGCCAGAGACAGTGGTGAAAGCCTCCATCTGTATGCAGGGGAGTCCACAGTGCCTGTGGAACATTTAGGCTCTGAACAAAAAGAGTCAACAACAAGCCAGATGAATGGAGGCAGGAGAATAACAACCTATGGGGGGAAATGGCTGTAGGATGAAACCACACAAGCACACACTAACAGTCTCAAGGGAGAAAACGGCCTCCACAATCTGGTGAAATTTAATTACCGACATGATAAGACTTTCAAATGTGCAGTGACTAATGCAGGAATTTGGGCCAGTAAGTGCCCTTGCCAAAAATTGGTATTTTGTTCATTGACACTATCAGAGGCACGTGCTTAACCTCTCACTTTGACTTTATACAAAAAATAAGGCTTCAGTTCTTTTGAAAATATTCATAGCCAGGCCCTCGAGTATTTTTTCACGCTGCACACAGTGGATAGAGGCTGACTCACAAATATGAAGGGAACATAGTCAGGTCTCATTATAGTTGTGCTGAAAGGAAGAACACTTCCATGCAGATGCTTATTTGCACAAACACACACATGGGCAAACATTTACACTCATGAACACACACGCTCAATCCTCTAGGTAATAAAAAAAATGACATCTTCCATTTTTTTCTCCTAACACAGTGACAAAGACGAATCTGTCAGTGCACGAAGACAAACACAGAGTTCCTTATGTGAAGGTGAGTCACCTACAGACGCGATTCAGTTTGCATTTTTCTCTATTATAAAGATGCTGTTTTTGTTGTTTATGAGTATAAGAATAGATCAGCGTGAGAAGATTGACATGTCTGAGACTGACAGCCAGTAGCTTGCTAGTTTTCTCAGTTCTGGCTTAATAAAATGATAAGAAAATAAAGTTATCTGCACACCTAGGGCTCTATAATGCATCATCACACCTAACTTTACTGGGTTTGTGGAAATGACTGCGCTCTGGTTGATTTCGCTCAAAACCTGGAGGCTGTCAACATGGCAAACCCTCAAAAAAAGAGGGAAAAACAGACAAATAGAATTTTTATGTAGGTACAGAGGAACAACACTGACTCTTTCTACTGTTTCCTGACATGATTGAGAGTGTTATCGATGTTCTCATCTAAGCTGTCTTAGTCCAAGTTAAAGAAACCACAATTATTAATTCTGGCTCTACACTCATGATGATCCGTTGTATGTTTAGCTAATATTTGTGCATATTACTGAACGTATATTTGATTTCCTGCTTCACTAAGGGCTGCACTGAGCGCTTTGTCACAAGTCCCGAGGAGGTGATGGATGTGATAGATGAGGGGAAGGCCAACCGTCACGTTGCTGTCACCAGTGAGTCACACTGTTGATCTTCCTGATGTTGTGACACTCACTCCGTCAGACACTTTATGTCAGACTTTTTTTCCCCCTTCAAAGTTTCAAGATTAATGTGCAAAGGGGAGAAATGCATGGCGAGGTATGAAGTGAAGACTTGAACTTGAACTAAATTGAATGAACTTTTGTTTGTTCTTTAGACATGAACGAGCATAGTTCCCGCAGTCACAGCATCTTCCTCATTAACATCAAACAAGAAAACGTGGAGACTGAGCAGAAGCTGAGTGGGAAGTTATATCTGGTTGACCTAGCTGGCAGTGAGAAGGTAGGAAGAATGGGAATTTTTCTTTCAAAAACATTAAAAGGAGGGATATAAACTCCAGACGTTTGCTGTTGACAGGGGTTTGAAACACTGGGGGCTTTGAAATGGTGTTTTCAGACATCAAAGAAGCAGATAAACAATGCATTAAAGCAACTAAACCTGAATCTTTATTGCTTTGGATTGCTCTGATTTTTAAAAATTCCACTTTATAAAAAAATTCAGAGGCCGAGAGCTGATTCCTAATCTGTAGGGTTGTTTCAGTCTGTCGCAGATGCATTATCAGGGTTACTGTTTATTCTGAAAAATAACAAGTGCTAAATGGAGCTTTCAGACAAGATAAACATCAAACTGATGGGAACCAAAGAACAACAAATTCATTCCACTTTTAAAGGTCTTCTAGGTGAAATCTGAGTCAGCTCAGCCCCATCACACCATCTATAAAACAATCTATCACTGGGACATAGTTCAAACGCTGGAAAGCAAATAGAAAATACATTAGAGGCACCGCTAAACCTGGCCCTTGGCTCCTTGTGTTGATAGTATTGGTAGAAAACTTAGAGCGTTAGATTGCAGTAGAGTCTGGATAGATGTTGATGTCTGTGGTTTGTAGCTGATAAGTGCTGATAGTGCATCTGTAAGTTGTCTTGGTCCTCCCTGGGGCTCAATAAGTAAAAGGTTCTACTCCAGCAGCTTTTTAGGCTTTGGTACAAAACGTTATTGACTGGGCTGAACAGGAGCCTGACGTATGGTCCACAGAAGGCTTTGATAGGACGACTTGCTCTCCTCTGTAATTAAGCTCCTCATTATTTTGCCGTAAATAATTGCATCCCATGGCGATTATGACAGAATAACGTGTGCCTTTCCTTTCAAAGTGTGGAAATCGTCTGGGCTTGTCAGTGTTCCTGTCTGTTAGCAATTAGCTGTGCATGCACAAATTCTTCATTCTGATGCTGTGGAAGTGCTTTTTATTGCAGTTTTATTGCAAGACAGATTTCTAATAATTATTTCTGTGTATTTCTTTAAAATAACAGTTACATTTAAACAAATTTACTCATATTTGATTTTTTTAATAATGCAAAATTGAATTTTCTACAGTTTGTGGAGCTGCATGCTGCCATTTGACATTTTTGCCATGCAAAATGTCAATTATTGCAACAATTCACTGAAACAAATTAACTGAAAATGCACAGAGTGAACCCTCTCACTGCTAAATTACACCACAGTGTCAGTGCCACCAGGAAAATAAACATAATTTCCCTGCTGATAATGTTCTTTACGGACTAATTCCTCCTGTCTGCGGGTGTATGTGTGTCAGGTCAGTAAGACAGGCGCCGAGGGAGCGGTGCTGGATGAGGCTAAGAACATCAACAAGTCTCTGTCGGCCCTGGGGAACGTCATCTCAGCGCTGGCTGAAGGAACGGTACGGTGGAGATTTGTTCCGAGGTCTATCATTAGCTTCATGTTGTTTAAACATTTTTTCCCCCAAACCTGGGTTCAGGCTGCAGTGAATTAGCTGAAAGTATTAGATTAAAACAACCTAAATTTCACAAATTAGGTAATTAGTTTAGTAACTAGTCAAGGCCAAATTACACACTACAATAAATCTGCTGTGTGTATCTGAAGATAGCTCTACAGGGTGGGCCATTTATATGGATACACCGTAATAACATGGGAATGGTTGGTGATATTAAAGTCCTGTTTGTGGCACATTAGTATATGTGAGGGGGCAAACTCCTCAAGATGGGTGGTGACCATGGTGGCCATTTAGAAGTCGGCCATCTTGGATACAACTTTTGTTTTTTCAATAGGAAGAGAAAAACAATGGTGTGCTTGGTTTCAACGTAACTTTATTCTTTCATGAGTTATTTACAAGTTTGCCTTTGTTCACAGCCATTGACATGTCGAAGAGGTTAACACGTGAGGAGC